ACCTAAGTGTACCGAGGTGGAGCTGGGTTCGGATGGAGGGTGCCGTTCTTCGTCGACACATTTTCCCTCACACATCTTTTCTCTCCATTTAAACTCCCTCATTTCCCATCTTTAAAACTCTTCTATCTTGCCAGTAAATCATCCAGATATTTTCATAAATGTCTGTTGTAAAGCTTATTAAATAAGCTGTGTTATTGCGTATAATCAGAATAATCACGTGTACAATGTTTGATGTTAAATTTTGATTCTGTTAATAAATGACCGCATTCATTTTGATGGGTCAAAGAAAATTAACGTCTCACGTCACTGATTAAACCATCTCCCGCACAGTATCTCTGTCACATATCTGTCAAGTAGCTCGAAAAAGAGAGAACCCGTTTAAATTAAGTATAATATCAGGTACTTGAACTAGTCCAGATATTATAACGTGTAGTGGAGCTCCGAAGCTAATCGAAGCTAACCGACCTATTTCACTACACGATCAAGTGACAAATTTTATACTGAGAATGGATGATAGGCTGACATCTATTTTTTAATGCCATGTGATCTGCCCAAATCTATAACTTCACAAGTCAAGTCAACAAGTGGAATCAAAATAACTTGAGATGGCAGCTCCCGCTAATCGACATAAGCTAGCATGAAAATCACAGTAACTCAACTCTATAACTCAACAAATGATTGTCATTGAAATTTCTGTCATGAAAGGCAATGGAACTTTCTTTCTCAAAAACTCATTCCTGAAAAGAAAGAAGATGCAAACATCACTTCTGGATCTGAAAGGCTGGACGAAACCTCTCAGACAAGTTGCATATATTCATGTTTACCTGTTTGTGATTCTCAGCAGCTTTTCTCCTCTGTTTGGAACTTCAACAAGTTGGCTTCCTTCTTCAGTACGTGCCTCGCACTGTTTAGATATTTAGACTCTTGCTGGGACTGCACTCTATCTAATCACACTCTAGCTGTATTTTTTTTAAACGTCTCCCTTAAGAGCCATCACAACAACCTTATTTTAGCTCCATGGAGCCTTTGGACATGCTGAGTTTATTTTGTTCCCTGCATCCCCCTCCCCCAAGCCTCACTGTGTTTTTCTGAGAGCTGGCTTTGTGTGAAATAACAGAGTTAATTTGCTTTTGCTGAGGTGACAAACAATCCATCTTACACCCACCTTCTATGAAAAAAATCCAACTTTGCAAAGTTTTGTCATTTGTTGTGAAGAGAACTGGATTAGGTGATGTTTATAAGCTCGGAAGCGTCGCTTCGGGCTGCGACTTTAACCAGTTAGCATGGCACTAGTACAAAGAAACAATAAACTCCCATCTGAACAGAAAGTTTGAGTAAACAAGCCAATGGTGAGAGAAGGAGAGTTTATCATTTTGACAAAACTGTTTTCAGTTAAAAAGGACTGAGTGAAAGTAACCTGGTAGGGGAAATACTTATGTGATCTCCTGCTGATATTGTAACCTCTGTAGGCATAGACAGCAGTAAGATATTTTTTTGTAATTGGTCACTAGGTTTGCATACATCTCAGGAGGGATTTTGGTCAATTCCAGTTTACAGAAATTCTAAATCCTTTAGTTTTTATTTTTGCAGCTGCTTGGCAACTCAAAGCCTCAACTCCTACAGAGTTTCTATGGGACTGAAGTCTGGAGACTTGCTTCAGACCACTTCATGACTAGTGTTTCTTCTTTAGCCACTCCTTTGCTGTCTTGGCAGTATGTTTCTGGGTCGGTAACATGCTGGAAGACCCAGCTATGACCCATTTTCAGTGTTTTGGCTGATTGAAAATCTTCATGTCTAGGATTTTGCAGTACATGACCATGTCCAAAAATAAATAAATAAATAACCCTACTATGGCAATGCTGTATTTTGGGTTAAATTAGCATTTATCTTCCTGCAAACACAGCAGGTTGGTTTGATAACTTATAGCTTGATTTTGTGCCTTATTGAACAGGAAGATCTTGTGGGTGCTACAAGGTTTCAATTCATTAGTTCCAATCGTGTTCTTGGTGACTGTGGTCCAAACTATTTCAGATCGGTCAGATCTGACCAGATCAGACCTCTCCTCCACACTAGTCCTCAGCACCAGTACACCTCAGGGCTGTGTCCTCAGACCACTTTTGTACTCTCTATTCATGCATGGTTGTACCGACAGGTAAAGCTCAAACGTCATCTTCAAGTCGCTGATGACACCACCATCTCAAGCTTCATCACCAACAATGACAAGAGTGCCTACAGGGATGAGGTGAAATCGCTGACCAGTTTGTGTCAAGAAAATAACCTCTCTCTGAATGTCAGCAAAATGAAGGAAATGATAGTGGACTTCAGGAAACAGTGTGGAGGCCAGCACTCCACCGTCTACATAAACAATGCTGAGGTGGAGCAGGTCAGGTCAAGTTCCTCGGCGTTCACATAACTGAGGATTTGTCCTGGACTTTACACACAAACACTGTGGTCAAGAAAGCCCGACAAAGACTCTACTTCCTAAGGAGACTAAAAAAATTTGATACGAACGCCAGCGTCCTCACTAACTTTTATAGGTGCACCATTGAGAGCCTGCTGACAGGCTGCATCACAGGGTGGTATGGGAACTGCATCAGTCAGAACTGGAAAGCTCTACAGAGGGTGGTACAAACAGCAGAGGACATCACTGGTAGCAGTCTCCACACCATCCAGGGTATCTACCACAGCCGATGTCTATGTAAAGCATGTAGCATCATTAAGGACCACACCCACCCAGCACAAGGACTCTTCCATCTACTTCCCTCAGGCAGACGATACAGGAATCTGTCATCGTGCACAAAATGACTCGAAGATAGTTATTACCCACAAGCTGTCAGATTATTGAACTATTAACAATAACATTGCACTAAACCACATCTGTGACAACTAATATGTTTATTGCCACTGCATTATATGGCTGTATCATGTATGTCACTCACTACCTGTGCAATAACCTGTCACACAACCTGTGTAGTTTGTTAGTTATGTGCAATATACAGTATATCATGTACATTTAAACTTATGTTACTACCTGTGAAATACTTATTTATACTAATTCATCCTACTTGCACTGTTATATTCTACCATGTTGTCATTTACTATATTTCTTTTGGACCTTATAAATATATTTCTTTTTTACTTTTTGGTAATTTAATTTGTACCCTTATTACACACTTTAATATTTCTTTTTTTTTAGCTAATTGAATCAGCTCTTCTCATCCTGAACATTTCATTTCATTGTTGACCATGTTGATCTGCATATGACAAATAAACAACAGAACATCTGTGTATCCAAGAGGTTCGAAATGGTAGACAGTTCATCTGTGAAAAAGTGTGCTTTATGCACATGATGACATGCGATCAGGAGAGTTTGTAGTTGATTGACTGATCGATTGTACTCTGTGCGCCAATTCAGCACATAACAAATCTGTGATGGTCAGAAGTTTGTCTGGATTGTTTGGATTCAAATACTTATTTAACTCAGTCAATTTCAAATAAATTTGTCACTCCTATAGAACCTGTTTTTTTATTTTCTGATATTAAGTATGTCTTTTAAAATAAGGAATGGTGGTGCAAAAGTTAGAGAAGGTGGGCCTGTGATCAGAAGATTGCTGGTTCAACTCCCAGTACTGCCAACATCAAAATGGGGGTGGGATAGGTGAAGCACCCACACCTGCCTCCAACCTCATTTGCCCCATTATGGGCCCTTGAGCAAGGCCCTTAACCCCCAGGCTCCCCAGATGGTAGCTCCCTGCTCCACACAGAGGGCTGTGGTAGCTCCAGAAGGAAGGACGGGAATCTGGCATAAAAATAATTGCCAAGTCTTCATGCAACTTAGTTTGCTGTGGTGACCACTAAAGAAGGGACCAGCTGAAAGAAAAAAACAAGAAAAAAGTATGTCTTTTAAAATGAAGCTACCTAATTAGAGACTGCAGTGGGGAAAAAAATACAAAATCAGCAGAAGATGAAAAATGTATGTCCCCCACAGAAGGAGAAACAACTTGTGCTTTGGTGTTTTTTTTATTTAAAAAAATTGAAATTAATTTAAAATGAAGGTGCATTGATCTTCCATTGCAAATATTTTTTACCCTGTTAAGAAACAAAGAGTGGAATTGGAAATACCCACCGTCCATCCATAGTTTTGTCTTGTGAACTGGATAACTTGAAAATAAGCAAGCTACCAACTTCCATTTTGGTGTGTGGCTGCACCAAGACATATGACAGGTCTGTATTGAAAATTTGGTTGCCATGATCAAAAATTGGGTTGCCATGTCAAAATCCAAGATGGCCAGCACCATGCTGAGCCTATGCTATAAACTGACCACTCCAATCATTTGAGGAAACTATGCTTCCTAGTTTTATATTGCTTAAAAGTATAGTTTCCTCAAATGATTGGGATGGCTGAAGATTAACCTATGGTGGCCAAGGCCACCATTGGCCACCTCCTGGTTCCGACATTATGCCTGGTCGAGGATATAATTGCTCCCTCCACTCACCAGGATCCGTCACTCTGCACCGCCTCCAACAAGCAACAAAGCAAACAAAAGAAAAATGACCTCTGTTATTTTACAGTGCAACTCCTACCCACTTGAATGTCTTGTACAAAACACATTAAGGTTTACTTGCATTCCCTGTTCAATTCCAGTCTAGAAAAACACTCATCTTGAAAACTACCAACATTCACTATTCAAATCTCTCAGCGACAGAGGACATTGGCACAACGCTTGTTGTATATGAAAAATATCTAATTCTCCAGGAACATTTTTTTCACTAATTGAACAAAAGTATGAAACAACTACTGAGGTTGCAGCTTTTTACAGAAGATAAGTCAAATTTCACCACTACTGGGAATATACCTTTTAAAATTAGTTAATGGCAAATGTTTTTCTTACATCCTTAAGTCCTTGCCAGTGATTCATTATACATTTGGTCTGGTCTGTCTTTCTGCTGCAGGCTTGTCGGTGTTGCGGTCAAATGAAGACCAGGCCCCTGTCATGCAGAATAAATTTATGGGTGACATTGAGGAGCTGGCAGCCAGTTACGAGCGCAAACTCATTGAGGTAAGTGTCGACTCTGTTTATGCTTCAGCATTCACAAGTTATTAAAGTCATACACATATGCAATGTGCAGCTGGACATTTTTACTTCCAACAATAGTAATAATTTAAAATACATGTCAGACTGATTTTGGTGTAGTGGATTCAGAAAATAAAAGGCTAAATGTTGCTGTTACACTCATTAGATGCTTCATCTCCACTTCATTCCTAATACACATCTGAAGGCCTTGTCAAGACCCAACAAAGATCATCTACTGTATTTTCCACTTTATAAGTCACCGTTTTTTGCACAATTTACATGCCCTGTGACTTATAGGCCGAAGCAACATATTTATGGATTTTTTTTCCCATATTTATAAACCAATTATTGGCTGATATGACTGTTTTCATTCATTATGACTGAATAAAATAAAAATAAAAATTGAACAGTACCACTTTCAGCCACTACATGGCAGCAGAGTAGTAATATCAGTATGGTAAGCCGTTGTATCATGTAATAGATAAACTTGGCTAGAATGACAAATTCAAAAAAGTTCAATACAAAAACAACTGGGCTTTATTTACTATACTTTATACTTGAATGATAAACATGTAATAACTGGTAAACAGAAGCTGGTGAAACTAATGATTTAACTTTCTCTGCTTTTGTTATGAACTCGTACAAAAATCTTATTTGTTTGAGGAGGAACTTTACTCTTCATTCTACTTTTTATTCAGTTTACTTCACTGAGATGGATGAATACAATATTTACATTTGTGTTTCACTCGCTGGATAATCTGCTATAGCCAAACTTTTATTTTTTATTTTTAGTTCAAACAGAACAAGACGTCTGCCAAATTTCAGTCGAAGGCCTTGCTCTTGCTGCACAGCGTTAGATGTTCACTGTATAGCTCATCCAAATTACAAAAGTGATGTTTTGCATTGAGATATACCAAGATTCTCAAAGAGAAAAAAAAAACAGAAAAGCAATTTTTTTTGTGTTTAAGCCTCTCAAGCTATAAAGAAGAAAGTTCTTCTTTAGATACTTCGTAAACCTAAAAAAAACAGAAAGGGGATTTTCTGCAGCTCACTGAGTTAAACGTGAGACGTGATGTTAAACATTGCCAAGAGAAATTCCCTGAGCTGGTTCTTCACAGAAACATCAATTGCAGCGAATGAAAAAAACGTTCTAATAATTGGACACGAGCCGTAATGCTGCCCGCTGTGCGAGATTTAATGAGCGTTGAGTCCAGTTTCCTGTTCGACTGACCAAAGAGGCTACTCTACCTTTAAATGCATATTCCCATGTGCGTGTGTGTGTGGAGGGGGGTAGGGGGACATGAATATTTAAACGAAGGTCTTCTATTTCTCTGATAAGAAATAACTTTGTCCATATTTTCCCAAATGACTTATTCACTTATTTATGCTCGCATCAGTACGGTGCATTTTTTATGGTGTTTACTTATTTATTTGCTCATTTGCTCAGCTGTCGTTTGTGATCGGGCTTCCACAGCAAGCGAGGACGGGGTCTGGAAACAGCCATGGAGTTTCCTAACCAAACGCGTGGGCAGTTTCATATTAATAATCATGTCATGTAAAAACATACATTTTCCTGGCCACTGTTGAGTAATGAGTTGCGGAAATGGTGCAAAACGCGATTGTGAGGCCCTGCTTGCATCTTGTTAGGCTAACACGTACAAAAAGAAGAAACATCTGAGATGCACGTTCAAGAGAAATGTCACTCAAATGATAGATTTAGAATGTTATTGTTTTAGTTGACCACAATTTGTTTAAATTTGGAGTGACTATACAATTTAAACAAACAAGATGCTGGAAATGTTGTAAAGTGTGTATAAGTGTTTGCAGTTATCTATAAATGAGAGGCCTACTCAGACTCATGAATTCAGTGATTTACATGAGAAGCGGTTCACACGTCTCCAAGTCTCCCTTCAGCGCCGGAGATGAAATCTGCCCGGCCACGTTATTGATTTTAGAAAATGTCACATCAAGTCTTGTTAGATACATACAGACCTGGAAGAGACAAATAAATATTGGACTGGGCTCAGCTGCCTGCATTAACCCGGAAAGCTGGCCTGCATTTGTGATCTGTTTAAGTTTTAATTTAATGTTGCCGATCCAGGATATTGACTTAGAATTTGTTTACATTTGAGCAAAAATCTCCAGGCGTGTAGTGCTCTTTGCCTGCTGTATGCTGGTCTTTTTATGTGTCTGGGCCAGCTGCGCACAAGGAAGAGAAAAGTCAAAAGAAATTATCCAAGCTAATGTACTTCAACAGTTTAAAAAAATAATAATTTCAACTACTATATACATGTATATGTGTGTTATTGTTTTTAAAAAGAACAAAAACTACAAACCGGATTCCAAAAAAGTTGGGACACTAAACAAATTGTGAATAAAAACTGAATGCAATGATGTGGAGGTGCCAACATCTAATATTTTATTCAGAACAGAACACAAATCACAGATCAAAAGTTTAAACTGAGAGAATGTATCATTTTAAGGGAAAAATCTGTTGTTTCCAAATGTCATGGCATCAACAAATCCCCAAAAAGTTGGGACCAGTCCATTTTTACCACTGTGTGGCATCCCCCCTTCTTACAACACTCAACAGACGTCTGGGGACAGAGGAGACCAGTTTCTCAAGTTTAGAAATAGGAATGCTCTCCCATTCATGTCTAATACAGGCCTTTAACTGTTCAATCGTCTTCGGCCTTCTTTGTCGCACCTTCCTCTTTATGATGCGCCAAATGTTCTCTATAGGTTAAAGATCTGGACTGCAGGCTGGCCATTTCAGTACCCGGATCCTTCTCCTACGTAGCCATGATGTTGTGATTGCTGCAGAATGTGGTCTGGCATTATGGTGTTGAAAAATGCAGGGTCTTCCCTGAAAGAGATGACGTCTAGATGGGAGCATATGTTGTTCTAGAACCTGAACATAGTTCTCTGCATTAATGGTGCCTTTCCAGACATGCAAGCTGCCCATGCCACAAGCGCTCATGCAACCCCATACCATCAGTGATGCAGGCTTCTGAACGGAGCGTTGATAACAACTTGGGCTACTTTTGTCCTCTCTGGTCCGGATGACATGGCGTCCCAGTGTTCCATAAAGAACTTCAAATCGTGACTCATCTGACCACAGAACAGTCTTCCATTTTGCCACACTTCATTTTAAATGACCCCTGGCCCAGTGCAAACGTCTGAGCTTGTGGAGCTTGCTTAGAAATGGCTTCCTCTTTGCACTGTAGGGTTTCAGCTTGCAACGGCGGATGGCACGGTGGATTGTGTTCACTGACAATGCTTTCTGGAAGTATTCCTGAGCCCATTCTGTTATTTCCTTGACAGTGGCATTCCTGTTTGAGGTGCAGTGACGTTTAAGGGCCCGGAGATCACGAGCATCCAGTAGAGTTTTACAGCCTTGACCCTTATGCACAGCGATTGTTCCAGATTCTCTGAATCTCTTGATGATGATAACTTAAAAGTCTTTGCTATTTTACGCTGGGTAACACCATTCTGGTATTGCTGCACTATCTTTCTGCGCAACAATGGTGGAATTGGTGATCCTCTTACCATCTTGGCTTCTGAGAGACACTGACACTCTGAGAAGCTCTTTTTATACCCAATCATGTTGTCAATTGACCTAATTAGTGTTAATTGGTCTTCCAGCTGTTCGTTATATGCTCAATTTCCTTTTTCCAGCCACTTATTGCTACTTGTTCCAACTTTTTTGGGATTTGTTGACACTGTGAAATTTTGAATCAACATATTTTTCCTTTAAAATGTTACATTTACTCAGATTAAACTTTTGATCTGCCATCTATGTTATATTACAAATAAAATATTGACATTTGCCATTTCCATATCATTGCATTCAGTTTTTATTCACAATTTGTTTAGTGTCCCAACTTTTTTGGAATCTGATTTGTAGTTTTAAAGACCAAAAATATCCATGCTCAATAATTCAGGTATACAGTCCAACATTTTTCAGACATGTCATCTGGACAGAAGGGTTCATCAGTCAAGTAAACGCACAACACAAAACAGATTCTTCCCCCAAACAGCTTACTCCAAAGTTGTGTATGTTTCCTTGACTGATGAAGCCTTCTGGATGGAAGGTGAAACGATTCAGCAAAAATAGAAACTGTCCAGATGACCTGACTGAAAAATGTTAGTTTTAAAGAATTTGATACAAAGGTTAAACCCTTATAAGCTGCTATCAGCTAAAGAGATATTTTAAAGTAAGTTTTTTTTTAGCAGTTCTGAACCTATAATATTTTTACCTGTTGTAAGAAGCTCTTTGAATGCCTCAATTTGGAGAAATAGAGTTAAGGTCAGACAGAACTATTGAGCTACAGGCTAGTCTGAATGCAGCCAAGATCAAAGTGAATTACTGCAGCCTTTACACACTTCACAACAATCTTTCAAAGATTCAAGGTTCTTTATTGTCATTCGCATCACATGTGGTACATGAGGTGGAACAAAATTGTGTACTCAATGTCCCACTTACATCCAACAAAGGTATAAAATATAAAAGAAAAACCGTAATAAGATCTAAGATATGAACTAAGAAAAAGGTTAACTAAAAATTCACTAAGAACTAGTAGTATAAAAACAATACGCTGAACAGCAGCACGAACATGAGTCTGTGTGAGCAGATGAGTACGAATGAACACAGCAGCATGAAACAGATCAGCAGCAACATGAAACAGATCAGCAGCAACATGATGTGATTTTTTTCACAGTGATTATTCTAGTTAGATATTTGTGAGTCCAACAGCCTCGGGGTAGAAGCTGTTCCTCAGTCTAGTGGTTCGTCCCCAAGAAACCCCCCTCCTGAAGGACTTGGGCGGGTGGAGGGCGGCACTGCAAGGGTGGAGGGCCAGAGGAAACACAAGGAACACAAGGAACTGACAAAAACTAAGGCAAAACACAAGAGATCTAAATGGTCAAGAGACCGTCCCTAAAGTCATTGTTCAGGTGGGCGGCCGGGAGGCCGTCCATCACGG